TGGCAGCAATTCCACACTCCAGAACGCACCTGGGAGTGGGGTAGAAGCAATTCCTCGCTCCAAAACACATCCTGGAGCGGGGTGAGGATTAGCAGCATCTCCACACCCAAAAACACATCTTGGAGTGAGGTAGCAGCAATTCCATATCCCAAAATATGTCTTGGAGTGGGGTTGGCAGCAATTCCACACCCCAAAGCACATCTTGGAATGGGGTTGGCAGCAATTCCACACCCTAGAACACCTCTTGGAGGGGGGTGAGGATTAGCAGCATCTCCACACCCAAAAACACCTCTTGGAATGGGGGGTAGCAGTAATTCCACATCCCAAAACACATCTTGGAGTGGGGGTAGCAGCAATTCCACATCCCAAAACACCTCTTGGAGTGGGGGTAGCAGCAATTCCACACCCCAAAACACATCGTGGTGCCATCCCATGGAGTCAGGGGGTGTGGTGCCATCCCATGGAGTCAGGATGCCAAGTGCAGTGGGATGGGAGCTCATGGTGTCCCTCTGCCTGTCCCAGATGTTGTCACCTGCCTGGCTCTCGACCTCTGCGGCATCTACCTCATCTCTGGATCCCGGGACACCACCTGCATGGTGTGGCAGGTCCTGCAGCAGGTCAGGGGTTATCCAGGGGGGAGCTCATGGTGGGCACCGCCAGCAGGTCACTGATGTCCGTGTCCCCAACGCCAGGGTGGGTTTTCCAGCGGCTTGGCTCCCAAACCTGTGCAGGTCCTGTACGGCCACGACGCCGAGGTGACGTGCGTGGCCATCAGCACCGAGCTGGACATGGCGGTGTCGGGCTCCAAGGTGAGCTGGGGGTCACCCGGGGGGGGTGTTGCACCCCGGGTTTAGGGGAAGATTGATTGAGAAACATCCAAATCTTCGGGAGGTTCAATAACTTGAACACTGAGGTGGAAGAAGGTACTTGGCAAACTTGAAAACGACATCCAAAGTGAGACACTAAACCAAGTTTAACTTAGCAAAGTCAAACCTGGCCAACTTCAGCTTATCCAGGCAAAACAAGGCACTTACTAAGGCTTTGGCTGAAAGCTTTTAAGTCTGGCCGATGATATATTTTGAGAAGAAGAAGGGGGGAGAAGAAAGAGAGAGATAAAGAGAAAGGAAAAGGAGAGAGAAAAGTAAATAGTCCCCACCCGTGGATCCAGCCATGAGACCTTAGTGTTGCAGTTTTGGTGCCAAACTCATGGTTTGGTCTTGATCCACCAGGGGTGAGGGAAGCCCCCAAAACACAAAGTTCAGTGAGTTAAAATATGCTCAGGTTCAGGTGGGAACACCCAGGTTCCTCCCCTGGGTGGGGGGTTTCACACTGTGTGACATTGTGGATCACGGGGCACTTCGGGGGCCTTTGGTGGTTTATGACCCTTCTAAGACATGAGCAGCATAGTTGGGCCAGTTGTGCCCCATCAGAAGGGACGGAAACCTTCAGCCCTACCTGGGAATGTCCCCCCTGGCAGGGGTGTGTCACCCCTGAGCCAGCTGTGTGAGGGAGGACAGGGGCAGGACAGAAACCATCATCCCACCAGGATTGCTTCTTGTTGGCCTCTGCCCTTTTCTGGCTCAAAACCAGCTCTTGGGTGAACAAAGGTTGATTTGTCGTGGTCACCTGAAGGTGGAGATGAGGATGGAGGTGAAGGTGGAGATGAGGAAAGGGATGGAGATAGAGAATAGATAGAGAATAAAGAAGGGGATTGAAGTGGAGATGGGAAAGGGGATG